GTGTCTGCGTTCTTCGCACCTGCCTGTAATCTGAGGAGGTCCCGCCTCTCTGACTGGCTCCCGCCCGGAAAATCTTCAGTGTTAATTGACACTTCAGTAATAGCCTATCAGATAGCGCTGTGGGCGGGACATTGCTCGTGTACAGAGAGTGGTGACTGCAGCCAGAGAAAGGGCCGCATCAGAGCCAAAGTTTTATCGGCAATTTCATAAAAAAAAGGCCGATACCGATAATCGGTCAAATGCGGAATATAGGCCCCGATAATCGGCCTGGCCGATTATTGGTCGACCCTTATCAGTTAGACGCCCAAACACGAAATATCAAGAGCAGGCACAGGATGAGACTGTGTATCTTGGCAATATTTTTGAGAAAGCTAATCTGATAGTTGAATACGCTACTCCCCCCTCGGTGGTGCAATAAGAGTATTATCTGAGCGCTTATTACTTCAACGCTTGTTAAAGCTCGCCTCCACCACCGCACAGAGATCATGCCTGGTACAATATTTAGAAAGAATAAAAGACAGAGAAGGGGAGAAATGGGTGCTGCAGATAATGCCTCTATACTTGATCGTCTTATTCCATGCTTTAGGGCAGTGTTATCATTTTCTCTGTTAAGGGTTTTAATCTCTAACCATGGTGGTGAGCAAAGAGACGTGGAATGTATGTCTTTAGTGGTTACTTGTACATCAATGCTTTAAATTCTCTAAAGGGGACACATGAAAGCAAACAGAAATCACGAATTGATGAAAGTAAACAACAGCTCCCAGCCACACACAAAACAAAGGTATATTTGAGCAGTTTTGCTAATAAAAAGTCTGCTATGCTTTAGTATGTCAATCACAAAGGTACATTTTGGCCTATGTACTTGATTGATTGGTTGATTTACTCCAGTCATTGATCCCAAAACTAGACTTAAAACAGTGTTACTGAGGTTGCTTAACTAATAAAAGATCAATTTGCTAATGGAAAAGTTTCCATAAAGCAGTCATTCATTGATTAGCAAGTCTGCCCACAATGCTCTACAAACATACAATGCTGTTTTTAGTAAACTTTTCTGAAACGCAGGAGCTCTGACCTTTCTGCTACATGATACTACACTGGGGCTGGTGTTTTGTAGTGTCCTACATAAAAGATACACTTATTTCTCTTGACATGGTCCTAATTGATCCAAGGCATTATCCACAGCCAAAACACAACACAACACAACATGCTCTCTGGGTACTTGACACTGTTAAACCTAATACCCTAATACCCTAACACACACACACACACACTCTCAAACACACTCACAGATACAGTAGTAGAGCAGGCGGAGAGGTGGCGTGCAGATAAGGCCGACTCATTAGAGCAGAGCACTAAAGCACTCAATGCTAGCCTGGAAAATCCACTTAGCAGAGATGGGACCTGACGGAGGGGGACTGTAGAAGAAGAAATGGAGCGTGGTCTGCACTCCAGGCTGCACAGATATTCCTGAAAGTCACGTGACAGCATTGATCCTCAAATGCAAGTGTCTTTCTGTCTTAGCGTGAATGTTCAGTCACATTTTTTGCAGTGACAGATGCTCGCTCTGTGCCACCATGCGGCCCCCCAAGCCCCCAACCGCGCTGCATTTCAGTCAGCGCTCTCTGCTGCCACTGATCATTGCTTGGTGTGAACATCTAAGACGGTGTGGGGGATCCTGCCGTGTGTGTCACCACTCTCATGACCTCTGCTGTTGCCTCATCTCTGCAGTTTCTTAACTTCCTCTTAGATAGAAAGCTAGCAGACTAACACGTTGTAAGATTAGCTTGAGGGCAGTCTGGCATCATGGTGCAACACACTAATGTAGCAATTCAAATGCATAATCCAGGTGCAAAGAAGATACATGTTCTTACCTTATCAATTAGGGTTGCACAATTCATCTAAATGTTAAGGAAATCGCAGTTAGCACAATATTTGTTAAAAGCGAAATAATATTCTGAAATAATAATGTTTCAAAAAAGGTAAATCTGTCAAATATCGTGAATCAAACCGCAATGAGTGATTTTTGTTATATTAAACACTTAAAGGAACATGTGCACTGTGCAGCTGTGTTATCAAGGACACTAGAAGTATCCGATAGGGATATTGATTGAATGGGGAGCAAAATAAACCTTGATCGAGACACCCTTAGCTATGACAAAGGGCCTAAACATAGTCACTAAGCAGTCACCCAGCACTCACTGATCTATAAGCCAGAATTGACCAAAATGTGGACAGCATCAGTCAACCAGCAGACAGAAAGTCCTGCAGTCACTCAGAGAGCTTGCAGCCGGTTGTAATCCCAAACAGTCACTCGGTCACTTTCCCGAGCCTGATCAATAGACAGAGGAAGTGTTGAATGAATGGACCGCGGCCATCGCCTCATTGTCCGCAACGAACTCGAGCTGCAAACAAGCCAATGTCTTGTTCCCACAGCATCACTGTAACGGCCCGTCCACACAGCGGCGTGCGTTGAAGCTTGCCGGCGGGCGTGTCTGAAACTCGACCAACAATCAATCACATGAATCTCCCGCCCCTGACACACAAGCAGCGGTTTGATTGGCTAGAGCTTGTGCTGGCATACGATTCGATTGGCTGACGCTTCTGCCAAGGCTTCAAAAGTTGAACATTGCTCAACTTTTGCAGCGAGCCACGCCACGTCGCTTCCCACAATGCAGTTCGGCGAAAAGTGACCCCATTCAAAGTGAATGGTGAAGCTTTCAACGCACGCCGCTGTGTGGACGGGCCGTAAGAGTCAAGGACAACGTGCACATCGGTTCTGTTACTTCAAACCCACTTCTGAAACTCAATCTGGATAACAACTGAAAGATCAACGAACAGAAAGCACAAGAAAGCCTGCAGCTGCAAATTAAAGTGACACATGTGTTTGTGTTAGATATGTATAAGAAGCTTTCGTAAGCCTTGTGAGTGCGTGCGTGCCATGGCCCATGCAGCCATTCACATGGATGGAAGTGAGACAGAGAAAAAAAGCTCTTCAGTTTTTACTGAGAAGCAATGTTGACCGCAAGTCAAGTGGAAAGCATGAGGAAGTGAAAGAAAGAGGGGGAGGGAGTGCATAAGATAGTATCAGGGATGAAATGTAGAATGATAGTAGGTAGGAATGAAAGATTTGAAGATAAGTGACTGAATTAACAGCTGAGAAAGGAAGGGAGGAATAAACAGTGTAGTTATTTGGAGATAATATGAGTAGGACTTAGAAAAGACTCTCCCTAACGTCAGGGTGTTATGCTACTAATGTACTCTACACTGCATTCTTCCACACGGAAACATCTTTGTACAGATTCTCAAAAGGGATTGTTTATTGACTTGAATTCTCAACGTCGCTCCACATAAAACAGACTCTAACCTCCTGATCTCTCGCCTGTGAGGATATATTGACCATGAGCTAAAAAGGGAACACAACAGCTATAAATCAGATTAGAAATAGAAGAAAAGGGGCAGCAGCAGGGCAGGACAAATCATGTCTTGAAAAGAGAGGACGTTTGAGTTTAGTCAGCAACAAAAATATTTCTTGATACTTGATATCGTCTGGATGTTTACGGTGTATACTGGTGGAAAAGAAGACAACACCATAATAACAAACATGGTGAACATTTATGACAAGTTGTGGTTTTCCAGCAAGATGTCCATCCACATTGTCACCGAAGAAAACACTTCTACTGCCTGTTTAATGCTCCTTAACAAAACAAATGCCATTGTAATCGGTCTGCCACAGGAAATCCATATCAATCAATGATTCATCAACACATCAGTCAATCTGCACCCCCTCCCTCCGTGACTCACTCCTGCATGGTGACAACACAGTGACTCAAATTCAACCTCTGGCTCGTTCTGTAACAAAGAGACGTACATTTGTGTGAAATCGTCTTTAACTTTCACATCCACTTTTGATTTTTGGTTTAATGTCCCGTGTTTTTTGTCCTGGGTAACGTTATGTCCTTAAGAACCACTAAGGTTTCTCTACAGACTTACATGGATGAATGGATATAAAAAGGAAACACTTAAAGAAATGGTGACCTCTGTTTGGGTCATCAGGTTTTACTGACCGCTGTAAATCCTTCACTCAAGTTGTTTTTCTGTTCTTTCAACAGAAGCATAAGACCTCCAACATCCAAAAAAGCCCTGGTGTAGGTGCTTGAGTTTAAAATATTCCAAAAGCATTTAATGTCAAGAATGTGTTTGCATTTGATGCTGCCTCTCGCTGCCTTGTTCCATCGTGTGTTTGGTATAGATGAAGACATTCCTAAAAGGTGAAACTGAACTAAATATAGCAACGTTTGTGTAATGAGCATACGCTGAATTGAAGAGTGGTTCATAATCATTTGAAATTCCATTTGATATTATCAGAGGTGGAAAAAAGTACTCAGATCTTGTACTTAAGTAAAAGTTGAGGTACCAGAGAGTAGGAGTAAGTAAAAAGACAATCAAAATGTTACTCAAGTAAAAGTGGTGGCATCAAAATGTACCATGAGTAGAAGTACTCATTATGCAGATTGGCCCATTTTAGAATAATACATATTATATGTTTTGATTATAATTATGAATGTTGTCAAAGCTGGTAAAGGTGCAGCTAGTTTTAATGACTTGTATACTGCTGCTTGTGACTTTACTCCAAGTCTGATTTAAGTGTTGATTATATTTCCCATCCTTAATCCAAATCTGCAAAGTAACTAAAAGTATCAACACATGTAGTGGAGAAAAAGTACACCTTTTACCTCTGAATTGTAGTAGAGTAGCAAAGTAGTTTATATGACAAAGTAGCAAAACATTGAAATACTCAAGTAAAGTACAAGTCTGTGAGTGACAAAATAATGTCCAAATATGGGATAAATAAAGTATATATATATACATATATAAATCACCTTTATATGATTGAGCTTGGGCTTTGCTGTTGACATGTACACGACAAAAACATAATACATGGATAAAGTAGCAAAGAAGTCATCAAAAATACATTTCTCTGACCCTTTTGAACCACTTACCATATCATAGACGTTGAGGATGATCGGCTCGTTGGCCATCACTGGCATCAGGCTGTTTTCAGGCTGTTTTCTCCCCTGACGTCCCTTCCTCTCTGCGGGTCTTCCTCCTCCGCACACCCCCTACTCCTTCCTCCCGAGATACAAACTCTCGCCCTTCCCAAAATAGACCTCACTCCCTCACCCTGATCCCTGGCACTTTCACGACAGATTATCAGCTCGATATTTCAATTTCACAACCCGGTGTAGAAAAGCTTGAGGAGGGTATTTTTTTGTACCGTCCAACATCTGACTGGCTTTGTCCAGATGACAGCTGCTCGTCTTGTCACTGACTTGCTAAAAAGCTACCGAGGTCGAGGTGAAAAAGCGGACTTTAAAGGGGGAATAATGTCTTCCAGGAGGCGCATTAGCACGGAAAAATCTTAAATTCATTTTTCCTAAACGAAATACTCAGCAAAATGACATGATGCTGAGGTATTAAAGTGTATTTCCTCTCGCTACTCCCTTATTAGCTAGCTAACGGTAGCGCTGGAGCTGGTCGGCAGGATGCTATGCGACTGCTGCTGGGAGAGAAAACTGAACAGTGAGAGTGGGCGAGGAGCAGAGCGGTAAAAATTAATCCACGCTCGATTATTAAACCTTGGTGCATTGAGCATTGTGGGTAATGTAGTTCTTGGATTAAAGAAAACCCCTGTACAAAAATTAACTATGTAGACACAAGTTTCTGGACACACTTGTGACTGTATTAAATTGTACTGACTTGGGCTTTAGTCAGTGATGGAAAGATAAGATTTACTTATGTACAAATGTACTTACCTTTTCAGTTCAAAGTACTTGTGAAAAAGAGCCTTTAAAAATGTTTTTCTTATTAAATACATTGACAACAACACAACTATACATTTAAATAGAAATAATTGATTGATTTGGAAATTAATTGGTAAGAGGTCAAACATTTCTGCATTCTTTCGGCTCTTTTACCTTTAGTACTCTAACATTTTTCTGATTACACTTAAAGGTAGGGTAGGTAATTTTTGAGAAACCAGCTCGATTGCGCTGGAATTTGAAAATACACAGCCGAAATAAATCTGCCACTTCCTTACAGAGCCCCTCCTCCAACAAAACACGAACGTGCACATGACCAATGAGGGCACGAGATAAGTTTGTGCACAGATGGAAGGCTGACAGGCAGGTAGGCCATCCAGTTATTTTAGCCGGGCCGGCTCAGATGATTGGTCGTGCTTTTTACAGCGCTACGGCTTCCACAGATGACATTTTTTAATGGATTTTTTGTCAAAGCACTTAAGATATTCATTGCTATCGGGATGTTAAGAGAATACAACAAAGAGTGTATCTCGAGCCGGTTTCTCAAACCTACCTACCATACCTTTAATTAGTAAAAATATATGTTACGAAGACTAAGAAACAATTAGTATTATAAAGATGGTCCAAATAGTTAAAATATATCGTAAAATGAATATGATTGGGAAAATACCCTGCTAAACCTCTACTGAGAACCTTCATTTTGTAAACCTTGATTATTTGTGAACTTGATATGCTTTGTGTTTTGTTTAAATGAAAGAGTCACAGTTACCACAGCGCATGTTCAAATACAAGACGGTATGATAGCTCCATAATCAAGTTTTATTTGAATAGCCACTTTGTGTGCTGACACTGCACGTCATTCTTGGACATCTGTATGGACATTAAATGGGTATTTGTCATAAAGCATTAAGACTCGGTCCTCCCTATAATCCATCATGGTCCTTTTCCTCACTTTGTCTTGCAGGATTTGAACATCCAACTGTACAGCATAATGCTTTGCTAAAACCTGTAGCAAGAGGTTTCCATTGCATCAGAATCCATGTTTCTCAGATCCAAACTCAGAAGCCCTGCTGGTTGTTTTCTCCCAGCAGTTCCTCCAGCGTCTCCTGGTTGGAGAACTCCTGCAGCGAGGAGTTCATCTCGTCCAGCAGGTCCTCCCCCAGCAGGAAGCTCTTCATGTCGTGCACCGTCAGCCCGATACGGTGGTCCGTTATACGGTCCTGGGGGAAGTGGTACGTTCGAATCTTCTCTGATCTGCCTTTCGTGCCAATCTGGAGGGTAGAAAGAAGAAATTGGAGAGAAAGAAAATTGACCATATAAGGCAGCGGTTCCCAACCTGGGGGCCCCAAATAATGTGCAAAATATTATGATTTGTGTGGAAACAATTCATTATTAAGATTTGTTTTAATTTGAACCTCTTTTCCTTTCTCTTTCTCGATCATCCTTAGCAACGGTCATTACAGTCCTTGACAGCGGTCGGTACTACTGGATTAACAACGTGTCACATGTTCTGAATTGACCAATCAGAACTTTATTTAGCCTCCGTATTGTTTATGGTTGAATGTGGGCCGCGAACATTTTTTAGATTCTTAAGTGGGTCCTGAGTTGAAAAAGGTTGGGAACCGCTGCTCTAAGGGTTGGTTTAAAATATATAAAACATTAACAGGCTCCCTTGCTGCTTTTTTAAATGTCTTTTACCTCTTTTTAGCAAACCATAATACATTAACTTAATCAGTTTTTACAAAGTAAAACATCACTCAAAACCTATATTTTATATTCTACTTAAATGATCACTTGCACATCATGTTATACTGTATTGTTCTGTATGGTCGCTGTGTCCCACCTGTACTTTCCGCTGGTTGTAGCGTTTGCTCGTCTCCTCCTCTAACTTCATGCTGTACAGTTTTGCTCTCAGAGCCTTCATGGCTTTCTCCTTGTTCTTTATCTGGGAGCGCTCCTGCTGGCACTCTGCAACGACGCCTGATGAACACACACAAGCATTAAAGCACTATTCTTAGGTTGGAATCTCAGTGAGGGGTCCTCATTTCATTCAGTGAGAGACAGACCCACACAGACACACAGCAATACAACTCTACTTAAACTAACTTGAATTGTTAAGTTATGTGACAGAGCCTCATGTTGTGAGTCTTATTGGAACCTTGCAAATAAAGTTTGTCTGGGTTTTTTATGCAAATGTAAAAAACTTCCTGTATGCGTTTCCTTTGTCCATACATACTAAACATTACATATCACTTGTTAGACGCTTTGATCCAAAGCGACTTACATACTCAATACTGTGGGCAATCCCCACAGGAGCAATGGGGTGAAGTGTCTCAGGGACACAACGACATGCTGACTGCAGTGGGGTTTGAACCTGTACCACCCACTGCCCCACACGCCAACTGTTGTTAAAAACAATACATACAATACATTAACATTCAAATGTTAATGTATTGGGAATGTCATTGGAGAAAAGGGAAGTTGAATTTATTGTGTTGACGCTTTAAGACATTTAAAATCCTTATTACAAATGTCTTTGCTTTGGCTCTTTGATGTGTTAAACTACTTTATCCAGTCCAGTTGTTGGGGTTAGGTTGGAATAAATAAGTGAAATAAATGAAAATCTCTCCAGCGTTATTGCATGTACGGTAAATGTAGATGATAGAAAAATTGTAAAATAAAAATAAAGTCAACAAAGGCTAAAACCTTTTTTGGGGGTCATACTGTTAATGTCCCACTAATTCTAACTATTACAACATAAGGTGTTTACAGTGTTTACCTGTGGGCAGATGGACGATTCTGACTGCACTGTCTGTGGTGTTGACATGTTGACCTCCAGCTCCACTCGCTCTCTTAGTTTCAATCTTCAGGTCCTTGGAGTTTATCGTGAAGGAGATCTGACAGGAACACATCATCATTTATTAAAGTAACACCAGATGTGCAGAAGAACAAGCTTTCTCCTAAATATCCTACCTGTACTATTACAATTATGAACGGAGAAACAACTTTTAAACCTTTACCAAGTCACATCCTTTTTGTTTTCCTCATATTTATAATACACGCAGATTAAGCAATAAATGCCAACTATATTTACCATGTCTCCGCCAAACAGTCAAGTTGCAGTTTACACTCATGTCCAAACAAACTGTAATCATTGTACCTTATAAGACATTTGTGTGAAATTGTCCTATTTCATGTCTGGATTTTTTAGACTTTTTTGTCAGGGAAAACAAATGTGGAGATCAGTGCCAGTTTTCGAAAATTCAGATGGACAACCCGAAAAAAATAATCCCAGCAACAGTCTTGACCAGAGGCCATTTGATTCTAAAATATAAAACAATAAAGATTTGAGAGCTTTTGCTTTAGTTACAACAAAGTCATCTTCTCTGACTATTCCAAAATTCTGCAATTCAGAATCATTTTCCATCCACCTGTAATGATGCCTGTAGAAAAACGTTGTTATTCCATCATGTGAAGCTGTACCTCAGTGGGCTGGGGCAGTATAGCCACCGTCATGGTGCTGGTGTGCATCCTGCCGTGTTTTTCAGTCCTAGGAACCCTCTGAACCCGATGGACTCCGCCCTCAAACTTCATCCTCTTGTAGCTCTGAGAGCCGCTGATGCTAGCCAAGGCGCTGCGCACTCCACCTGAGCAACAAGTACCAAGAGTAAAATGTAAGATAAGATAAGATGGACTTTTATTAATCCCCGTGGGGAAATTCAGTAGTTCAAACAGCAACAGGGTAAGATTGAAAAACAGGATAGCACAGATTCACACAGGTTAATACAATTAAAGATAAAAATCAAAGATACAAATTAAAACGATAAAAAACTATGAAATAAGAAATGAATTAAAATGAGCATATATACATATTGGGTTATATAAACTATGAAGTATTGGTACAACAACATGTAGAAATGTAACATGTTTGTTTTCATGAAAGTGATTTATTTAATATCTGTTTCAGTATTTACCTTTCCTTAACACATTTTCTTTGTAAGTGTCTTCAATTGTGTTATTTAAACGTCATATATGGGCATTACTTAGTGACTTAGTGACCACTCAAAAGTTCTCTGCACAGAAAGGGCTCCCCCTTGAGTTTAGGGTTAGGTATTGCAATATTGATATGAAAGTCGAAAACAGAAGGTTTTTTGCATTTTTGTGCTGACATCCTGTATCTTATTACCACCCAATCCGTACCTTCAGTCGCAAGTTAGAAC